GGGAGGAGGAGGAGGAGGGGGAGGAAGAAAAGGAGGAGGAGGATGAAGCCGATTAAAAAAAAAACACAAACAGCATCAGACTTACTCTTCTTCCAGTTAAATTTCTTAATATTTGGTCCACTGTCTCCAAGATACACACAATCACCATGAGCTGCCAGACAAGACAACTGTTTCAGACTCACTGGAGTTGGAGATTCAGGTTCCAATAGATATTGAGTTCCCAGAGTTCTTTCCTTGCTATCATACTTCCATATTCCAATTTCACCATCAAAACTTCCTGCATATATCAAATTTCCCTTGACCTGTGGATATAGACATTGTATACATTCCAATTTTAAGTATCTCTGTTCTAGGGGAAGGAAAGGGAGAGAAAAACATATGTACATCCTAATCAGAAACAAAAAAAACATTCATATTCATCATGCCTTACCACAAAATACTTTCACACCTTTAAAAGTAATAATCACACTAATTAATATACACAACAAAAAAGAAGATTACTTACACTAACAGATATGACTTGACTCTCAAAGGCATTAACAAAGGCAAAGCGCTGGCCACTTGAAACACACCATATTTCCAATTTACCACCCTCTGTGCCTGTCACAATGCCCCACGTTCCACAACTCAAGCATGTTATTCCGTTATAAGTGTATATCGATCCATGGCTTTCACCTGTAAAATATGGACATCTTAAGAGCAAACACACCATTGCATAGACATATTAATGAACTTTACAATAAAATTAATAAACTTTAGTTCATAAACAATGTAACCACATTTGACAAAGTTCAAATTTTCCAAGTTATATCCACATAATATATAAAATGTAAGCAGGAAGACTTTTTTCTAGCAAAGCCCCAATGATCCCCTAAACACAAAGAAACACAAAATGCATTTTTACTAACATTCAAAGGCTGGGCTATAATGCCTGGTGTATATTCACACACTTCCAACCTTTATTTCATTTAAATTTACTTTTTCCATTATTTAATAGTCTAACTTAATACTTGCATCACATTTCTACACACCTCAACAATCAATAATTTCTTTCTAAGTAAATGAAACAGTCGGACATTATAAAACCAGTGTATTCAATTTGCATTGTATATAATATGGTAATCCAAAACTCATATATACTTCATTTTGTATAAAAGTATAAAGAAACATATATATCTGATCAAATGTATAGCTTTCACAAGATCAGGGACAACTGCATATACAAGTACCAACCCATTGAGGTCATATGGGCATGAATGCATGCTCTGTGATTTATTTTCTTTATACACTGACGGCTCCATAATTATCTATATTGTTGATTACAGCATAATAATGCCAATCATGATAAAAAATATATATATATATATATATAAACATATGAGAAATTAATATTTTCAATCTTAAAAATTCAAGGTCAACATCAGACACTGTATGTTCCCAGTGCCAATGGGTTAAGAAATTCAACATGTTCTGACCTGAGATAATATCCCACACCTTCACTGTACAGTCAAGTCCCCCTGATACAGCTAGCACTCTGCATTCTGGTGAATGTTGACCTTGTACTGATGGGATCTCCTCATACTCTGACTGAGAATCATTAAAGAGTTTAATACTACAAATGATACAGAAACAATGGTCAGTTACATTAAACTACAGATTAAAAAAAAAAAAACATTTACACTAAATATACTTTGAATATATTGCAATATGAAATATAACATATGTATCTACCTCCAGCTTTGCCAACACAGTAGCTGCAAGTTCTCCAGGGAGAAATGCAACCGACGTAACTGATGCTCTATGGCCTCGCAGACTCCTCTCTTCTTCTATGCCACCCACACGCCAAACTCTCACAGTTGTATCCCGACTGTCAACATAAAGCAGGATCAGAAAAAAAAAAATTCTATACATTATTTCCTACATGAGTAGGCTGGTGATAGAAGTAAGAATATGGAAGAAAGAGGGTAAGTGGGAAAGGAAGGAGGGAGCAAAGAAGAAATAAACAAAAGTGATGAAGATAAAATTTAAATCTATAGCAAGAAAGAACTCAGAGAATAAACAAATGGAGAGTCAAACAGATACAACATATAAAAACAGAAGACACAATTACCTTGCTGACAGTACATATCCATCAGAACAGTCCACATCTAAAATGATGTCATTATGACCTTTCAAAGTATAGACTTTGTAATTGGTATCTCTCCATATGCATGGTTCTTTCTTTGGTTTTGTCGGCTCTACTGACTTCCCCTTTGTTGGCTGAGGAATCTTCTCTTGGGAAACATCTTGTTTTGAAGTTGCCTCTCCTGCAAGAGCTTGAGGCAGCCTTGAAGTCTTCTGTGAAGTGCCTGCAGGTTTTTCTTGCTTCCCTTCTTTAGCTGTATCTACAGGAGAAGTGGTGGAGACATCACAGCTTTCCATTTCTTCTTCTCCATTCCGACTTTTTTTCTCTTGAGGCTCATTGCTGAACTCACCTCTGAAATAGTATCAAAGAATAGTGGTGGAAAAGATATTCATATATGTAACATCAATGATAATACAATATTTTTAAAAGGAATAAATAAAATCAATTCAGAATCATCAACCTACCCTGTCCTTTTCATAATATCAACTTCATCCGGAAAATGTTCCTTTAACAGACTCTGAAGTTCAGCTCGAATGTTATCTTTGCTATTTACCTAAAATAAAGTAAATTATTTTAAATATCCTCTTATTCTATTGCATTATCCTGTCAACAACATAAATAACAACAATAATAAACAACATTTTCTATTTTATACATTCTAGGTCTATAGTAAATATGGTACCAGCTATATTTCCCTCATCTATCAATCTATCTAGCCAGTAAGAAGAATATATACATGGAAAAGCCCAGGCGATAGAACACATAATCATATATCAAGGATATAGAAACGCTGAAACTCATCCTAGAGCAGGCATCAATAGTGACCATGTTCCTGTCGTATCAACCATAAGGATGCAATTGAAAAATGTAAAAAGACAAAAACAACATACAATTCTAGATTATGCAGCACTGACGGCTGATAAGGAAATGCAGTCAGCATATGCAGTTAAAGTGAGTAATCAATTTGAGATCCTTGAAGAAAAAAATGAAAAATCTAGCTG